TGGTGCAGTGCTGTGGTTTTGACTTTCAGCCTGGGAACAGCGCTGATAACACCGATGGTTTTAGTTGTTGCTTAGCAATGTTTAGTCTGACCAAGGACTTTGTGAGTCTCATGCTCTTCCAGGGAGCAGGGGAAGTTGGGAGGAAGTAAAGACAGAACACTTGACCAAAATGAGCCAAAAAGGTATTCCATACCACAGCACATCATGCCCTATATATAAACCGGGGGTAGCTGCCCGAAAGGGCTAGATAACTGCTTGGGTCGGGCTGGGTATCGGTCGGCAGGTGGTGAGCGGTTGTATTCTCTTGCCTTGTCATTCCCTTATCATTATTATTATTGGTGGTAGCAGTAGTGGTTTTGTATTATACCCTAGTTACTGCACTGTTCTTATCTCAATCCATGGGAGTTGCATTCTTTCGATTCTCCTCCCCATCCCTCTGGGAGCAAGGGGAGGAAGAAGGGGGGCGGGGGGGAGGGGAGGTGTGAGCGAGTGGCTGCGTTGTTCTGGTTTGTCGGCTGGGCTTAAACCATTAGAACATCTGTGATGAAGCCCAGTTAAGTATGAGGAATGTCATGTCATACTATAGGTTTTTACAAGAAAGACAATAACTAACTTTCTTTTTAAACATATATTTGTTGCAAACAATACTTCATTTTCTTATTTAAAATGTGAATTTTCTTTTTGCTTAAACGTTCCTGGGCAAATTGTACTGTAGGAAGTTTCTACTCCATAGAGCATATTTGCTAACTTTTGAACGAGAAAATTGTAAGTGACCTTTTCTTTATTATTTTAGTTTAACTGAATGTTATTACAAATTATTCAAAGTCATATACCTCTTTGAATAATGGTAAATCCTTGATTTCAACATCAAGGCATCACATATCCTATTTATGCCACTGTCATAGTAAAAATAACCTGGATTTTTTAATTTGCTCACTTAATGTGCATTAATCGTCCCTGTTAAAGAGCATAGTTTCTTTCACACTTGAGATTCATTAAAACCTAAAAACGGACTGCCCATGACCCAGAATGATACTTTGTCTCAGCTGGTAGGATAAACACTGTGGTTTGCAAACTGTACTTTCTTTTTTAAACCTTTGTACCATCAACTGTTACTGATTAAAATAGGCTAGTGCTGCCAACTATTGTATAGCGCAGTGCAACAGCAGAGGATTATCAGGAACACTGTTAGGCCCCAGCAGTCAAACATACCAGTGTGTAAATTTGCTTCACTGTCTCTTAAAACACAGTTAATTTGTTCATGTTTTCCTAAGAGCGATTAACAGCAAGCAGGAGTTTTAATGAAATGAGCTGGTAATTCCCACAGGGACTATTTTTAATGAACGTTTCAGAGTAGCAACAGCTTCAAAGTGTTTACATTAAGACATGATTAATAACAAAGCTGTTAAACTACACATTATATGAAATGCAGACCCACAGCAAAGGACATTCCTAATTAAATCATCATATTCATTAGTATCTTCTCTGCTTAGGTATATTTTTGGGGAGGGGGTTATTTAGGGGGTGGTGGGACTTGCTTCTCAGATTTTTTTCCTAGTCTCTTTAGATTTCAAAGGGTAATATGTAATGTAAATCATGTTCTTTTGAACAAGCAAACTCAACTGCACTTGTAAAAGTGAGGTTAAAAAAACCTTCAGGAGCTCTTTAGGTGAAATAACTATCCAAGACATGAGAAGCATATTTAAGAAACTTATGCTAGAAAGTGAGATTTTTAGAAGCACCTGAGTGATTTATAATTTAAACCACTGCTTGAAATCAATGTGATTCATGCTTTTAAGGAATGTAAGTACTTAAGAAAAATCTATGACATGATGAAATAAACAGCTGGATTTTTAAAAACACAGTATCACTGCTCTACAAGACTCTAACTAGATGATCTTAAGGTCTTTTCCAATTTTAACTATTCTATCATTCTGTGTCCTATAGATTGTATTGTGATTTAACTTCATAATTATTGGCATCACTGAACTCAGACTTGGCTTGCTTTAAAATTCTTATGCAATTAAAATTCTCTTACTTATGTTTCTGTAACTCAGTTGTGAATGTCAGCCTCTTGATTGAGGGTGCCTTGATGTTTTAGCAAATTGCTTCCAGTGCTGTTTACAGCTCAGTGTCTTCAATCCGATTCATTTACTGTGGCAAATGAGAAATAGTTGTGCTTTTATCTCCTGAGTAAACTGAATCTGCTGTTCTGATTGCTTTGTCTTACTGCAGCCCTTTAAAAGTGGGACCCTTTAACAAGAAATATACTGCTTTCATTATGAAACTCCCAGATCAACATAATCAAATAGTAATTAACATTTACATAAGGTGACTTTCCAAATCAGAATTCGTTCTCTTATTTTGGATTCACCTTTTTTTTTTCTTTATGGAATGTTTAAACATCACATGTATGCAAGAAAGATCAGTTTAGTGATACCTGGAGTTCTTTATAACAGGGATCTTTACCCAGTGCACAGATCAAGCAAGGCAGTGCAAATGAAAAGTGTAACTGAAATAGCAGTTGTACTCTGCACTGGAGTTATAAAGACCATGTAAACAATATGGTTGAAAAAAATATGTTGTACTAATGTATATGCACAAATGCATGTACTAATACGTAACTAGTACAGTGTACTAATTGCCACAGATTTTTACTGAAATGGACTTTAAGCAGTGCATATGTGCACCTTTGCATTACAGATTTGGTGGTCTGTTTTTTTTTCATAGAAAGAAGGACATAACCTTTGTGTTGGTAGACAAGCCCCTAATTTAAAATCATGGTCATCCTGAGGGAACAAGTTCCTACCACTAGGACAGGTTAGCTGAAGAAGGGGCCTGAACACATTAGATGATATAGTTTATTAATTAACAGATTTAGAATTGTTTCAAACATGTATTCAGATAGCTCATGTGAAGCTTTTCTCTGCTTCCTTAAAGATCCTGTATTTTCTTCTCATGATGGCTCTTACACTCTCAAGCTTAGCCTTAGCTGGGAAACAGGATGTATGTCTAATTCCTAATGCTGAATAGGAAGGGAAGTCCTGTTTTCTATAGGCATCTGGGGGACTACCAGGAGACAAACCCAGACTGAACATTTGAGGGGGATTTACCGTGTATAAATATTTGACTTGATTTGGGGAGGAATAGAAAAATTTGTTGAATTAAAACAAAACCATACTTAAAATGCATTATAAAGGCACGCCTATTCCTTCATCTGCTTCTTTTAACTGTTTTTGTTGTAATAATCCATGTCACTCCTTGATCTGTTTCCATAAAATTATACTGAAATTATCTTTCAAATCATTCAGGCTTCTTTCAGAAATCTCAGTGGTTCACGGTCTTTTCTACGGCCAGGTTCTCTTCAGTTCCTGGCCATCTATTGAAGAACTTGGCCAGAACTTCTCCTCAGTTAGCCAACTCAGAATTTTAGGGCATTGAATTGTATAGCTAATCACTGCCCTTAACAGCAATTCTGAGCCTGACAAGGACTACTGTCAGCATCACTCATGTTCTTTATTCAATGTATCACCCGCACAGCTCTTGTTAGAAAATTGAATTTTACATCTTTAAGCCACTATGTTCAGAATATTAAAGTACTGATGTGTAAATATTTCAGCATGTGAATAAAATGCATTAGGTTTTGATCGGAAACTGTTGAAGATGTTGACACTTCGTTATATTAAAATTCCTGCTTATTGAGGTTGATGGATATACATGCATTTATTGATAATCTAAGCCAATATAGATAGTTTCCCTAAAGTACATTTCAATTTTTTATTTCTATTTTCTATTCTCTATTTTTAGATATTTCTATTTCTAGAGATCTTTTAACTGAAGTGCTATTGTATATCCAGTATTAGTTTTGTCCCAGTTTTATATGTACCACTGTCCTGGGTTCAGCAGTAGCAGTCATTTTTCTCCTTTTAGTAGCTGGTGAAGTGCTGTGTTTTTTACTTTAGTCTGGGAACAACTCTGGTAACACCAATGTTTTCAGTTGTTGCACAGTAATGGTTACTCCAATCAAGGACTTTCTGAGTCTCATGCTCTGCCAGGGAGGAGGAGAAGCCAGGAGCAAGCAAAGACAGGACACCTGACCAAAACTGACCGAAGAGTTATTCCTACAACAGCACATCATACCCAGGATAGAAACTGGGGGGAGACACCCCGAAGGCCCAGATCGTTGCTCGGGTTGAGCTGGGTATAGATCAGCAGGCGGTGAGTGGTTGTATTCTCTTCTCTTGTTATTTCCCTTATCATTATTATTATTGGTGTTAGCAGTAGTGGTTTTGTGTTATACCTTAGTTACTGGACTGTTCTTATGTCAACCCGTAGGAGTTACATTCTTTCCATTCTCCTCCCCATCTCTCTGGAAACGGCGGGAGGAAGAAGGCAGGGAGTGAGTGAGCATCTACATGGTTCTGAGTTACCGGCTGGGCAATCTTTCTTCTGCATCGGATCAGAGGGACTCTATGTTTGCTATTGCCATCTTAGCCGGCTTTTGGCATGTCCACATCTCTCTGTGTTGAATTTCATTTTTTTGACCTGTTGCTCTGTCTATTCATAAAGCTTTTTTTTCTGGAATCTTATCATCTTCTGTAACATTTTTTTAGTTTAAGGAACAATCATTGTTCTCTGTAAGATGTTGTTAAGGTAGCTTTGATTTGGGTATTGATACTGTGACCTCTAATGTTCTGTAGTGTATTAGGCACAATTGATTGAACTTCCTAATAGTTTGCAAATACCTTATCCATTAAATATCTCATGGCTATCCATTAAATATCTTATGATTATCCATTAAATGATCATGGTTAAGTAAACAGATTAAATTGTAAAATACTTCAATGGCATGCACTTGGGTTTTTTGGTTTGGGTTGGGTTTATATCTATCTATCTACCTACCTCTATGAATCTTTCTTCCATGGCATCTTTGTAGTTCATTCACATGGAAATGAAGTGTAGTTGTGCCGTGTATACTTAAAACAATTCTAGCAGAATAAAACTCTACTAATGGAATATCTTCTTCTGAAATTTTATGTTCCAGCATGACAAAGAAGTGCTTATTCCCTAGATAAACATCATCCTGTGTAGAGAGCTATTCTCTTTGAACTTGTGTGAGCTGACTAAAGCTTTGTCACAAGTCTCTCTGGAGACAACTGACACTTCAGGCTGCTGGCAGAAGAACCCTTGAGGGGATTTCTGCAATCACTTCAACTGCACCAAAAAAATCAGGTGTTCATTGTTTTCCTTGATGATGGGCTGTGAAAGTTTGAAAAGCAAACAGTTCTGGAAACCTCTTTGGAAGAGAAATGTGGGAGGACTCAAGCACTCCTCCCTCCAATAGGAAACTACCAGCAGCTAATGACCATCTAGAGGACAACATGTGAAGTATGACAACCATCTCTACACTGGAAAAATTACTTGGAGCTTCAGTGAAAAATCCTGTAAGGTGAGATTTTGTGTTGCGAATTGGGATTGAACTGTCACTGCAGAAGGAAGTGTGTAGCTGCAGCTGTGCTTTCTGCTGAGAACTTTTGGCAGAAAAAAAAACAGGAAAAAAAAAAGAAAAAAAGAAGGGGTTTGGAAAACTATTTGTAAAGATTGGTCAGCCTGTATACAAATGTATACAAATGACAGGTCCTGAGTTTTTAAGTGGGGCTGTTTTTGTGCACAAAAGGTAGTTCAGTGTCATCTCTTCAGAAATTTTACATTGTTTTGAAAAAACTGCTGAATATTGCAATTTTTAATCTTAAAAAAAAAAAACTTTATATTTTATATAACTGTCAAATCTATTTAAAATTAATTTATGGTCCTACCCCAAATTCATCAAGTATATGTTCATGTTTGGTTTTTTGGAAATTACTTCTAAGATTTCTGTTCTCTCTCTCTGCTCTTCTCCCCACAACTTGATCATGAATAGTACAATGATGTCCTGTATAAGATAATTTATGTTTTCTGGGAGGCTTCATTGTACAGTAATGACTCAGATTATCCATTGGGGGCCAGATTATCAATAACAATATAAAGGGATATGCTTGAAGAAAGTTATTGGCAGCTAAAAAAATGAGCTTTATCATCTAATACTAGTAAAATACTAGAGTACCATTACACATGACTAGCCCTTAATTCTAATTATTAACTTCAGTGTTGGTTAAATGCATGCCAAGCTAAAGTTAACCACAATTTAAGGAGAAAATGCTTAAACCTAGGTCCTAATGTAATGTTAGTTTACCTATGGCTAATATAGTTGCATATCTGAGGTTACGCAGATTAATGCTAGCTCTTTACAGCCAGCTCTGCTCTAGGAAATTCGTATTGTGATCTGAAGAACAAATGCAACAACTCTATGTGTTCCTGCTCTTCTCATGCAAAAACGATTCACGACCACCTTCCATGGAAAGGAAAGATTTTTCCCTTACAATCTACTTCCCTTGCAATCTAATTGAAAATTGGGACTTTTCTTCTATCTCTTACTGGGCAGCCTCCTGTCCAACCCACCCAAACTGGGATTGTTGGTTTTGTTACCTTCCTGGAGTGGGTGTTGAAATAAAGATTTTAGCTTCCCTCTGCTCCCATATGTGCTGTACAGAAAATCTTCCCTGACTTTATGCAGAAGGAAAATGAGCAGAACCTCATTTGTTGGAGCCACAAAGACAATTAGTTTGGATGGAGAAATGTGGAGGAAAGAGATTAGGTGTCAGTAGAGAGGAAAATCCAGATGTAAATAATAGGTAAGGAGGTGATGAACTGAGTGGCTAAGGAAGATTGAAACTGCACAGAAGCACAAGAAGAGATGTGGAGACAGTGTTCTCACGGGAGAATGGATAATTGGTACATGAACTCTGAATAATCCTGAAAGATACAGCAAGGCCATGAGAGGCCCAAGGAAGCTTAAGCAAGCAAGATAAGAAGCTGGAATTCACTGAGTTATGAGAACTGTGGACTGTTGGCAAGCTTTCGAGGTCAAGTTCTCCCACCTGTGCTTAACCAATTGTATGTTAGTCACTAACGGTCTTCAATGTATCCAATCATAATATGCCAAATCACTGTAAGTGCATGTAAGCAATAGTATACAGGAGTTAAGGCTTTGCAATAAACGGCTTTTATCTGATCATATTGATCTCTGACTGGGTCCATATTTTTTCTGCGGCAAAGAGAGACAGAAAAGTAATGATATAAAGCAGATTTTTATGAGGAAATAGAACTGGGAGTATGCCCACCATAAAATTTGATTTTCCTGCACCCAGATGAGAACCAAAGTTTCTTAGATTTCTCTATGTCTGTGTGTGTTAGCAAACTGCTGGGAAGTTCAGTGATTGTCCTGCTGGACTCTGGTTTTCACCAGTGTTAGTGAAAATATGGGATATCTTTCCATAATTGTGCAAAGCTGTGAAAGATTCAAAGATTTCAGCACTGCTTATTACTTAAATCAGCGGCTTAGATCAGGCTACCCAATGGGATTTCTGTTTAGGGTGGATTCACACCATCACTTAAAATTTTGAAAGCAAATTTGCTTGTAAATACTTTTGAGATATATATATATCCTGGTGGTGTTCCAGACGTTTTCTAATCCTGTGAACACCTCCGTAGCCAGTACTGAGAAAGTACTGTCCTTCAAACAGTGTATCAGTTCCTCCTGAAGTGCCAGAACTTGTTACTGTCTATAGTATATTTTTTGCCACAGTGTTACTGATTTTCCCTTTGGAGAGGACAAAAAGAAAATAAAACTTTTTCAGGGAGATGGGAGGAATCTGCCCTTGTTACATAGAAGCCAAGGGAATTTCACCACTTGTCTGGTTTTTAACCAGTAACAAATTGTGCTAAGTCAGGCACCTGGACTTGTGCAAAGCATTCAACACTGTCCACACGAGATCCTTGTCTCTAAATTGGAGAGACATCAATTTGATGGATGGACCACTCGGTGGATAAAGAACTGGCTGGATGGCCGCACGCAAAGTGTTGTGGTCAATGGCTCAGTGTTCGGCTGGAGACCAGTAACGAGTGGTGTCCCTCAGGGATCGGTGTTGGGACCGGTCTTGTTGAACATCTTTGTTGGTGACATGGACAGTGGGATTGAGTGCGCCCTCAGCAAGTCTGCCGATGACACCAAGCTGTGTGGTTCGGTTGATATGTTGGAGGGAAGGAATGCCATCCAGAGGGACCTTGACATGCTTATGAAGTGACCAGCAGGTCGAAGGAGGTGATCCTGCCCCTCTGCTCTGCTCTTGTGAGACCTCACCTGGAGCATTGTGTACAGTTCTGGTGTCCTCAACATAAAAAGGACATGGAACTTGTTGGAACAAGTCCAGAGGAGGGCCATGACAATGATCAGGGGACTGGAGCACTTCCCGTATGAAAATAGCCTGAGAAAGTTGGGGCTGTTCAGCCTGGAGAAGAGAAGGCTGCGTGGAGACCTCATAGCAGCCTTCCAGTATCTGAAGGGGGCCTATATGGGATGTTGGGGAGGGACTCTTCATTAGGGACTCTAGAGATAGGACAAGAGGTAACGGGTTAACCTTAACCTGGGGAAGTTTAGATTGGATATAAGGAGGAAGTTCTTTACTGTAAGGGTGTTGAGGCACTGGAATGGGTTGCCCAAGGAAGTTGTGAATGCTCCACCCCGGCAGTGTTCAAGGCCAGGTTGGACGAAGCCTTGGGTGGCATGGTTTAGTGGGAGGTGTCCCTGCCCATGGCAGGGGGGTTGGAATTTGATGATCTTAAGGTCCTTTCCAACCCTAACTATTCTATGGTTCTATGAAATGCCAGTGTTTCTGATTCATAAAGTTTTCTGAAAGTTGAGTGGTTATCTGGTGTCCCATATTACTTTGGAAAACAAGTTCAGTGTATCTTTCCAAAGAAACCATATGGGTGTTTTAGCTGATGTGATGTGAATCGAAAAGAAACATTTGGGCAGCCCCTTTTAAAGGTTGTATGTATGAATTAATGCGGAGGTATTACTGCTAATTCCTTAAGCTGGTCAAGAATGGAATTTTACTTGACCTGGGTATTTTAGAGAATAGAAGGACAAAGTAGTTTGCTCAGCATCAGACAGCACAGCCAGGAGAAACCTGGTTTTCTGGTTTATAGCTGACACCCTTTGTCACTGAAGTATGCTATTTTCTGTCTGGTTAAATCCATCATAATTAGGTCCATAAAAGGAATGAAGCCCAGTCAACAGAAAAGGAAGGCAAAATTTCATACCAAATATGATGCCATTTCTGTTCATACCTTTGTTCAAGTGTAGCTTATGTCTGTCCTTTCCATACATGGCTATAAGAAGAGAAATAACTTGAACCTTTCCTGTTAGAAGGGTAATTGTTTCTGTGGTATTCACGAATGATGCTTTGTAAAAAAAGATTATTTTTTGGAGTTCTGTAATGAGTTATTAATTTTGAATCACTAGATATTTATTTCATAATTTGTAAGTGCAAATCTAGTCTCATTTAATCTTCTTAAACAGTATAAAACAAAAAGTACCATTTTTAGTCAATCAGTAGCCCACATATGAAAAAAATACCAACCCTGGATTCTATTCCTTCCCTCCAGCATAGCAATCGAACCAGACAGCTTAGTGTCATCACAAACTTGTTGAGTGCCATCAATACTACCGTCCATGTCAATGACAAAGATGTTGAACTGAACACGGTTAAACATAATATTGGCAGTACACTTAATCAATGCACTTATTCAAAATGTTGCAGATGTGTTTGCATTCCCTAACAATTCCAGTTTTTCCATACAGTTCCAGCTAGAAAACACTGGCAATCTTCATTAGTTTTAACACTAGTCAGGGAACTTCTTATTGAAATGTTGATTTACAGAAGTGTAAAGTCATTGAAGTTTCTTAAGAGTGCATTGAGATATTTGCTTGCATATGTATTTGAAAACAAGCGGAATGCACAGCTGCGGCTTAGACATATGAAGGTTTCCAGTATTGAAGCTCACTGTTTCAGTGGAAGGTTCCTAAAAATTCTGCTATCAGTATTGAAGTTAGAAAAAAAGCATTCATATTCCAAGTGAAAGCTCAGATGGAGGTGAAAGCCAAGAAAAATCCTTTCCTTTTCATGCATCATCACCACTCATAAATACACTGTAAAGTCAGTTAGACCCTAAGCTCCACTTGTAGAAACTCATTCTGCAGTGAGGTGGCATAACTATAATTAAGGACAGAAACGACTTCACAATTTGTAGTCCAGTTGAGGTCCTCAATGGCTATAAATCATCAGGTATTACAGACTTCAGTGGAGCTTTTCTATTTATTCTTAGTACCTGCCACACAGTTCATAAGCCTGCCAAAACTTGCTGAGAGGAAAGAAAACCTGGCTCAGTTTCTCATGGGCTCTTACAGTTAAAAAGTGTATTGTTTTGTCCTTCAAGTAAAGAGATGAGACCTGGAGCACAAAGCAGAGTAAGCAGCTGAGTAGCAAGGTGACATTTAAACAAGATTAT